AAGCTGTGGAATATGGGATGGTCTAAGTCCTGCATGGCTGACACCGTCCCCGTCCCCCGCAACCAAAATGCGTGTCGACTCCCATGACCACCATAGAAGAACGCCATCGGTGCTCTAAGGCTTACAAATCATATAAAGGTTAAAACATATATTGCGTTTGATCAGAATGAAGTGGGCTACATCCGGTGAAAAAAATGGGGGGGGGGGCGGGATAGATTGTCGGGCCTTTGGTTCGCCCCCCCCCCCTCATAATTGATAAAAATTGACACCCCTGCTTTCTGGTTTTAGTATGAGTGAGGGAATGTGTTAGGTTTGTCAAAACGGCCCACGCCCAGCACACGCTCAGCCCACGGTCAGCCACCGCTTAACCGACGGTCGGCACACGGTCAGCCCACGGTCGGCCCACGGTCAGCCCACGGCCGGCCCACGGTCGGCCCACGGCCGGTCCACGGTCACCCAACGGTCGACCCACGCTCATCCCACGGTCGGTGCACGGTCGACCCAGCCTAAACACACCCACATCGATGACAGCCTCAGTGCTAGGCAGAAACCGCACGAGGCCCGGAATCGTTTCCTGTTTCTGAAAAACTCGAAGTTCGTTGACCTGTTTGTCGGGCAGTTCAAGTTCACGCTGCGGTGCACGGTGTGTGGCCACGTGTCCGCAACATTTGACCCGTTCTGGGACCTGAGCCTGCCGATCCCATCCATGACGGGCCAGGTGCGCTTGGAGGACTGGTTTGGCCTTTTTGCCAGGGAAGAGGCGCTTGACGGAGAAGAAAAGCCGACGTGTTCCATGTGCCAGAAGTGTCAAAAGTGGTTCTAGAACTTCATAATTCATGGGCTTCCGCGTAGCCTCGTAGTGCGCCTGAAACGGTCGCTGCTGCATCTAGATCAGTCCGGAGGCAAGCTCAACACCACTTTGGACTTCTCCACCAGTGGTCTGGACTCGTCACCATACTCTGCCCTACCGGGAGACTGGGTTTCTGGGTTTACGGCATGACACAGTATCCTGGCGTGACGTGCTCGGGCCTCTTCACGGCCCAGTGTAAACATGCCTGTTTGGGAGTCTGGTATGAGTATGACTTCAGAGTCCAGCTTGTTCGTATGCTCTGCGCCAACTGCTGCTAAGCACCGTGCTGTCTCTCGAGCTGACCAGTCACTACCTGCTGCCGGCCTGAATACCAGTACTCAATGGAGTTCGAGGGGGCTGTCCCACCTGTCCAGTCACTGACCTGCTGCCGGCCTGAATACCAGTACTCAAAGGTGGTCGAGAGGGCTGTCCCACCTGACCAGTCACTGACATGCTGCCGGCCTGAATACCAGTACTCAAAGGGGTTCGAGTGGGCTGTCCCACCTGTCCAGTCCCGTCGACTAATCGCTTTTGTGTGGTCCAATTTTTACCGCCTATTAGAGGCTATTATGTTTGAGTTACATCAAATTAAAGTCATATTTCCCCAACGCTTTATTTTTCATTGAGTTTAGCATTGCTTCAACGAGATCAGATCTTGATGCCGTCAGCGCTTAGGACTTCGCTGATTTCCAGCTAGGCGTTAGCTGGGCCTGTGACACATCAGCCCCCATGAAGATTAGGCCAGTCCAAACAGGTTCTCATCCTAAAACTCACCGTGAGACCTTACCTAAAAACCCACATTCAGATATATCGTCTTAAATCACATATCACCAAAAGTCATTATATTGTATCTCGAACGGCTGTACGTGCCGAGCTGATTCCGAAGTTAGGCGACGCTTTCTCCTTGTACTTCTCGTTCTAGAGTTACGGGTAGGAGACCGATTTTTCACTCAAAACTTTGTTCCATATAGACTTTAACGAGGCGTTCAACGGGCGGCCTGCAAATTGGCCTGAGGAAGCCAGAGTGTTCTTTCTTTTTTTTCTCGCGCTCATTTTCATAGCTTTCCGTTTCATCTCTGGATCGAATCCTGAGTGCGTGTTGGAATCATTAAACATGTTATATGAATACATAGGAATGATTCCATATCAAAATGGGTGTGAATTACATAATTATCTGAAAAATTGACGTACTCTTGTATTCCCTCCGCATTAGAGAGAAGCGATGTGTTCATGACGCAATGGACCTCCACCTGCCACATATTGAGCATTGTTGAAGGGGCCGCCGGTATAGGCCAGGGTGAGCTGAACGTGGGCTGAGGGTCGGCTGGGGTGAAAATGTGGCTTTGCTTTACTGCAACTCAGGTTCTGTGTTGGTGTTGTTTTAATCCCTATCCACCACGGACTCTACCGGACAAAGACGGTCGTTTTGAACATGCAGCATGAACTGATTTGGTGAATATTGATCGATTTGAATCGAAATTAATCAGCCGTACTATGGGAGCCAAACTACTGAATTCCCTCACACTGCAGGGTATCGTACTTGCTTCGTACTGGCCCTCTGCATATCGCATTGTAAGCGTTTTTGGAGGGGCCGCTTGTATGGACCGACAGTAGGCTGAGCGTGGGTTGTCCTGGCATGTTCGAGTTGGCTCGAATCCTGTGCTGCAGTGCTGCATCAGTGGCTGTGGCCGTTTCGATTTTTGGGCGATTTATGAACCATGCTCAATGTTTATTTCCCGTATTCAATGTCAAGCAAATAAACTTGCTGCTACGAAATTATAAATCGGGTATCCCAGCAAAGCTGGGATATATTCGCAGCGCATTAAACAGATCATCGTTTATTACTCTTGTTCATTTCATGGCTAAAATTGAGTTCACTTACAGCAAGATCCTAGCAAACTGTTCCAGGCTGGTTTCAACGTGTTTACATTGAAGAACTTCGAGGAAAATTACACAGTTTTCGCAAACTTTTATCATTCCAGCGTTACGGAGCAGTCCGATATATGCCTTGTGCTGTAGCACAGACCTTTTTAAATAAAGGGCATCCGAAGGTATCACGTGTGCGACTCGATGAAATGCTCTCCACTTCAGCGAAGTCTTGGCGTTGTACGAGCGATCGCTCGGAATTTTCGACACGGAAGAGCATGTGCCTTGTGTGACACTGGCAGGCCGCCGCCAGGGCTCTGAGGGGCGAAGGACCGTGCCTGGGTGGCGACGCGCACGTCGCGCATTTCAGCTCATATAAACGATGAGTTCACACAGTTCTGATTCGGTGCGAGTGATCAGGTCCGCAATCTCTTTCCTACCCTGGCAAGTCGTCGAAAGGTGACCGGTAACACACGAACACAGGACAAAACCATGCGCACAGATACTCTGAGGTTTTAAGTGATGTAAAACAGAAAATCAAACTGGTATGGTCATAAGCGTAGTGTACTGTCGACGCAAATATTTTCCAAGAGCGCGGTGCCATGCCAAAGTTGCAACAGCCCGGAAACCGAGGAAAGCTCTTATCGCGCACGTTTTGAACAGCAACTTGTGCCATCAAGCCAGCGTCAGAAAACAAGAAAACATAACCGGTAACGATTCAATGTTTATTCAAAACAAAACTTAAATGTTATACTAAAAGCAGCGAGCGGCATTGATAACGAACATGCACAAGAACAATTATTTCACCGCGTGCCGAAGAGCAGGACCGCAACATAGCGCCTGCCATCTGCCGTCCACCGGCCGAACCATAGTTTCACGCTTCTGCCAATGGACCTCTCGTATCACAATGAGTGTCCTGACAAAGCTTTCTTCGCGCTTACAAAAACCGACTGAGTATCTTGTACTGTATGATAGCTGCGCGAGATACCAGGCAAGGAAGAGACAAAGGACAAGGGAACGTCAGCCGACGCTGCGCAGATCGAACGGAAACACAAGGGAAGGGGAGCTGACGCGGCCGAAACGCGCAGCTCCACCATCCAGAACGTATCGTGCAACACCAATTCCACGCTGTGAGCGGCCGCGTCATTGTGTGGATGCACAGAGAGGCTGGCGACGGGGCGGGCGGCGCGCGAGGCGCGGCCCGACGGGTCGGCCCCGGTGCGCGCCGCCCGCGCCCGCCCGGACACGGCTCGCGCGGCAGTCTGACGTCACAGTTGGCAGCTTCGGCAGGCAGTGGCAGCACTCGATAGCAGAACGCCTCTACAATTAACAAGAAACCCAGCAACACGGTCCCATCAGGTACTAGCAGGTGGGCTCCGGCGGGCGGGCGGCGCGCCGCGCGCCGCGCGCCTCGCCTCGACCATTGCCGGGCGCGTCTTGTCGCCCACCGAGACGAGCACACTACAGTAATAAGTGAATGAAGTCGCACACCACGGGAAAGGAGATTTGACACGACACAACCGCGGTCGGAGCCGAGCCGGCCGCCGCAAAGCCCGGGGCGCTCTCGTCGGAGACATTCTGTCACGGAGGGCCGGGGCGGGCGCCCGCGCAGCGTCGGCGAGGCGAGCGGCGACGTCGCGTCGCGTCGGGTACGACTGGAAGAAGCGGCGTATTTCTAAGACAACGGAGAGTTACACTGACGCAAACTCTTGGCTACTGGACTGTCTGGTAGCATTGTTAATGAGGTAAAATTCAGGTAGTGTTACAGCGGGTATCATCGGTTGACTCCCCATCACAAAAGGTCGGCCCTTCGCTGGCTGGCGGCAGGGTCGGCACCCGGGCGCCACGTGACCTGGCCGGCGCCCGCCGCGCTCGGGCGGAGCGGGGCGGTGGTCAGCGCGGCCCAGCGGGCGCAGGCCGCGGTCGGCGCGCCCGCCTCGCTCTCACGCACTCACGCACGCAGACAGAAACACCGACCGCTCGGCGGAGCCGGCGCCTTCACAGAAAAGCCACAGCCCGAGGGGTCGGTTGGCCGGCGGCCGCGGCGTCGCCCACGGTCGGCGAGCGTCGCCACCCGGGCACGGTCAGACCGTGGCCCACGAGTCCCGCGCGCGCCATCCCGGCGCGGTTAGACCGCGGCCGGTGAGTCCCGCGCGCGCGCCGGCCGCCTTTGGCGGCCCGGACCGACGACTCGCGCGCCCCAGCTCCGCATAGCCCGCCGTCGGCCGCGACGCCTGCGGGGCGCGGCGCGACGGCAGCGCCGGTGGCGCCGCGCGGCGGCGGAATGCGGCACTACTCGGCGCTGGCCGGCCGGCTGCTGGCTTTGGCGGCGCCGCCGGCGGGGCTGGTGGGCGTCGAGCCTGGCGGCGACGGCCGGCGGCTGCGCACCACGCAGTCGAGCGCTGCCACCTTGTGACCCTCGCTCTCCTGCTGGCAGGGGGAGGGGCGGTTAGAGCCTGGGCGAGGCACGTCGGCTGCGGTACATCGCATGGTGGGGATCGTCGATGCTGACATGTGGCAGTGACTGGCTTTGACCGCGTCCCGGTGCGCGGCCGCACAGCCACTAACGCATCAAGCCTGGCATTCTTCTTTAGGACCAACAAGAGCTTCAACAAGGCCGGTGAAAATGATCGCATCAAACGCACGAAAGTAGCTGCACAAAACAAGATAATTCTGGCATTTATCTGCACCTTCCGCGACCGTTTGCACCTAGCTGCGCCAGTAATGCATCTCCACATCTATATCAGACGAGCCCGACAGCCAGAGGTGTTGCCGCGCGGGTCGAAGCGCACAGACGGCCGAGTGGCCGCCAACGGTTACCTCGGCATCCATCAGAGCCTGACGGGCGGCATCCTTCTGCTGCGTGACGATCAGGTCCCGCAGGTGGGCGGTCCTCTCCTCCAGCAGGGTCTGCGGGCGGCGAGGCGGTCAGGCGGCGGCGCGACACTGGCGCCCCTGGCGGCGCCGTCCGCTGAGCGGCAGGCGCTGGATCGACGCCGCCAGCAGCCAGCGACAGCCGCCTCTTAGGCTTTGGCGGACCGCGCTCAAACGCTTACGGAACTTCAGGGAATACCAGCGAGAGCAAACGGCCACGTGGTGACTCTATCCAAACATCGAATCTCAACACGACCGGCGGCAGCTCTGGGGCTTCGGGAGGCCAACGCACGCCGTCAGCGCGAATACCTGGCAGATTCCGTAGCCAGCTATCCACGATCGGCCGGGTTTCGCTCTCTGCGTCACAATTACCATGTCCAACCAAGCGCGTCGCTGACGGCACGCACAACCCCCGCGTCGAGCGTCGCCCGACGACCCCCGCCGGACGACGCCCCCCCCCCCCTTCTCCCCCCCCCCCCTCTTGTCCGTCCGCTCACACCACTCACCGTCTTCTGCTTGTTCTCAGGCGCGCAGTCGCGTGACGGCGTCGGCGAGCGCGCGCACCGTCTCCACCACGGCGTCGCGTCCGCCGGGCGACAGTGGCGCCGCCAGCGAGGCCACGCGCGCCACCGCGCCGTCCACGTCGGCCAGCAGCTCGGCGGAGTCGCCGTCCGAGCCGCGACCCTGCCGGCGTGAGCGGAGCGTCACAGCGGGGTGAACGGCGGCCGGCCGCGCCACCGCGCCGCCACTGGAGACGGCTGAGGGGCGTGCGGCGGAGCGTTCCACGGCCTGCTTCTCGGGGACGGGTGCAGTCGCAGATCTCCCCCCCCCTCGCCCAGGTCACAGGGCCACAGGCGAGCCGGATCGCGTCACAGAGACCACCTGGTGCGACACTGACACTGTCCACGACATCCCGTCCGTCCGCTCAGCCATCCGCCCCGGCGCGGCACCCGCCATCTCTGTGCGGCTGCTGGAAGGGCAAACCCCGACCGTACGTCGGCCGCGCGCTGCCCGGCGGCTCGGGCGCGGCCGCAGCCGGCGTGCCGCCGCGTGCCGCGTACCTTGTCGCCGGCCGACTGGTGCGGCGCCAGCGCCACATTCGGCTGGAAGTGCCGCTCGTGCTGCTTGACGTCGTCGTTCTTCACCACGCGGTCCGGGTGGAGCAGCACGGGCGGCTCGTGCGACAGGAACGCTCGCCTGTCGGTCCGGAACGCACACGTCAGCGCCAGCGGGCCGACCGGCCGACGGACCGACGGACGGCACAAGGTCGGCGGCGCGCGGCCTACTCCCGGCCGGCGGCGGCCGGCCCGACGCAAAGAAAATACATCCACTTTGACACACAAAGGCGTGTTTTGAGGAGGCGCCTCGCTCACATAGCTGGCCTACTGGACGAGCCGTCCATCACGGTCAGACGGAGACTGAGAGGAGGCTCGCTTGCCAAACAGCGTGTAGCAACAGTTCCAACACGTCACCCCGAACACACATCAACACGTCCCGCGCGACAAGCCGCAAACCGCACCACCAACAGCACACACACAAACATTCCACGATCGAGAACAGCTGCACTGGACGCACCAACTACCCATCACATTCAGCACGCGCAGACAACAACGGCTGGCTGCGCGACACCTGCCCTCGGATGGAACGCGGACCGCTCCAGCCCGCCTCGCCCGCGCGGCCGCGCGACACGCTGTTGACACCCGGCCGCACTCCGGCCGGCGGCGGCAGCGGCGGCCGGCGCTCGAGCGCCGACCTGCCTGCCCCTCTCCGGTCTCCCGGGGCTGTGACCAGCCGCGGCGCGGGTCGCCGGACGGCCGCCCGCGGACAGCGAAAGGTCGGTGGCGCCCGGACCGCGGGCCCGGCTCGGTCGGCGCCGCTGAACGCGACGGCGGCGGGGCGGGGCGGGGCGGGGCGGCGGTCGAGGAGCGGATCGCCGCCCACACAGCTGCCGCCCTCCCAGCGGAAAGACGACGCTCGCCGCGCGCACGGTCCGGCATCGACTGGCAATGCCGGCAAGTTCTCCCGCGCCGAAGTTTGCCAATCGCAGACTTGTGTCACTCAAGTTTGGACCGTGGAAGTTGCGGCATGACTTCTCCCCGAACGTGAGCCGGCCGTCCGGCCGCCGGGGAACTCTCAGCCGCGCCCGCCCGTCCCAAATCGGCGGCAAGTCTCTTTCATCGGTGGCCGGGCCGTCTGCGATGATCGCCGGGTGTCTCTGCGCTTCACAATCCGCCGGTTTCCGCGCAGCGGGCCGCAGCGCCTTCAAGAACCGGGGCGCTTTGTTCGGAGCGGCCGGGTTTCTTTGAGCGGCGGGCAGCGTCTCACTCGGTGGCGCGGGGCCGCGCTCCCAGCTGCGCCGCCAGCCATGCCCTCAATGGCAGAGGGGTAGGGGTGGGGGGCGGGCGGCCCGGGGGCGGGGCCAGGCCTTTCTGGGAATCGGCCGCCGCCGGTTATAGCACGAGCGGAGCGCAGCGGCGGCGGCGGCGGCGGCGGCGGCGGCGGCTGCGCTGGTCAGGCGCGGCCGGAGCTGGGGCAGCGGTCTGCCAAGGTCGTGTGGCGGCCGGCCGCCGCACAGGCCGACCGCAGACTGGTGACCGCCGCCGGACGGCCGCGCGCACCGACGCCGTACATGGCGCAGGGAACTGCGGCGCCAGCAGCAGGTGCGGACAGGCTCGAAGAAGGAAGCGGTCTGGGAATGCACCTAGTAACGGTCACTACGAAGTCTCTCGCAAACCACACACCATCAGGCGCTGGGTCGATGAGGAACGGTTTTGCAAGACCGGTGAATTTCTTGTTGGACGGACAGTGCTCCATGAGTGACGATTTACATCCCTTTGGAGGGCCTTGCCCCCCCCCCCCCCCCCCCACCCCCATATGTTTTGTCAGCATTTTGACCGGTGGCGGCGGCTGCTTGCTGGAGTCGGCGGAGAAGTCGGATCTGTAGTCGGTCCCTTCCATGAAGGAGAACAGGGTTTACCTTCACATTTTGGCAGCTAAGTGTCAGCTGCCGTCATGCCCCTTCTAACCCGCGGTGTTCGCTATTTTGACGAAAATCACCAAATATTCCCGAAAATAAAAAGCTTTGTTTTGGGGGACGCCTGCCTACCCCCCCCCCCCCCTCCCACACCCCCTCTTCCCTCCCACGCCATGACGTGCACACATCGCGTCAATGTCCATCTTACAGCGGCGGTCAGCACGCGAGCCGTGCCGGAGGCGTCTGTGCTCGGCCGGGTCCCAGGAGCAGGCGGCGCCAGCCCACCGCCGCACGCCGCCGCGGTCGGAGCCGGCAGACGGCCAGGCGCAGTGCTACGGCTTTCCGGGAGTCCCTGGCTCGCGTATTTAAGGTGCCCGCTGGCCAGAGCTGGCAACTGGCCGACGGCGCTTCGCGGAACCGTATCCGTGCGGCGCGATGAATGGGCGAGCCGGCCGGCCGGAGGGCGGCAGTGGCCACGGCGGCAGCCAGTCTGCCGCCGCTGCCGCCGCAGCCGCCCCGCCCCAACCGCCGGCACACAAGGACATGCCGAAGACGGAGCCACGGACGGCATCTCGTGTATCAGGTATTGCGGGGCACCTGGCGACACAGCGCAACACAGCACAACACAATCAGTCACTCAGTCACCCAGCCAGCCACACAGCCACACAGCCAGGCACTCAGCCAGCCAGCCAGACAGCCAGCCAGCCAGACAGCCAGCCAGCCAGCCACTCAGCCAGCCAACCAGCCAGCCGGATACATGAGCGCGGGTTCAGACTCACGAGGTGGTATGCAGGGCGGCGCCGGGCGCCGGCTCCTTGGTGGCGGTGTGCGCCGGCGCGGCGACCGGCGAGGGCGGCAGCAGGCGGGGCAGCGCCGCCACGTACGGCCAGCCGTGCCAGCGGTACAGCAGCGCCGGGTCCAGGAAGCCGGGCGGACAGAGCAGCGCCGCCGCCGGCGCCGCCTCCTCCAGCCGACAGCGCTTGTCCTCGGGCACGTCCTCCGACGCCGACTGCGGGCACAGGGGTGGGCCTCGCTCAGGGGGCGGCCAGGTCGCGGGCACCGTGAGACGGGCTCGCGGCACGGGCACCACTGTGGCACATATGCTGACATCTTTGTAAGCGGAAATACATCGTTTCTCCCGCGGAAAAAATATCCTTTCAATTTTGAATGATTTGAGGTGGTGTTTTGGGTGTTCTGATGCTGATATTGCTGCTATGCTATGGGTAAAGCAATGCGGGAAAAAACTACAAAGCTCCAACATTGACGTATGACGATACAGAACACACAGCACACAGGTGCAAGGCATCCTCGCAGTCGACGAACCCCCCACCACCAAAATCACGCCACAAGGCAAGGCGGGATGCAGGGCAGAGCGGAGCGCAAGGCAGAGCGGAGCGCAGGGCAGAGCGGAACACGGGGCAGAGCGTGGCACAGGGCAGAGCGGAGCGCAGGGCAGAGCGGAACACAGGGCAGAGCGTGGCACAGGGCAGAGCGGAGCGCTGGACAGAGCTGGACGCAGGGCAGAGCGAGGCGCAGGACAGAGCGGGCGGACGTCGGCGGGGTGAGGACCGAGCGCGGCGGTGTCGGTGCCGACCGTTGACAGGGGACGGGCGGGACGCGCGGCGGCAGACGGCGACACGCCACCGAGCGAGGGCGCGACATCGCCGCCTTACAGAGAATCGATGCACGGTGGCGTTGCGACGGCGCGCCCCCGTACGTTGTTGGACGCGGCGTAACTGCGGCCGCCGGAGGCCCCAATGCACGAGGCGTCAGGTCATGCGCTGCGCACTCCCGGATGTCCAATATTCCCAAGGCCAATGAGTGTAGTACAGATAGGAGGTGGCGTATCAAATTGACTGCAAGATACGGCAACGCGGGATGCTGCCATGTTTCGCGGCGTCTGGAAGGTGCTGCCTCCTTCCGCTATTTCGCTCGCCCACGTAGCGAAAACAATGGCCATCTCCCAAGCCGCTAGCCCGGCGGTGAGAAGCACCACTAGAACGCGTCGACGCCGCTGCGGCTGTAGCCGCCCGTCGCCGGCCGCCGACCCCAGCGCCGCCCTGCGGCGGTCACTGACACCGCCGGCCGCCAGAAACGACGCCAAGCGAAAGCAAAAAGCGCGCGGCGGGTGGTGGCGGCCGGCCGGTCGTTCGTTGCACTGGCCGGCCGTCATCGGGCGGGGGCGCGCCTACGGTCGCCATGACAGCGTCGGGCCGACGGAGGCGCGCCCGGCAGACAGGGGGGGCGGTGGCCGGGCAGGCCGACCGTGCACAGCCGTCTGCGGCCGACGGGCATGGCGAGCTCGTAGTCGTAGCGTGTCTCCCGGCCGTAATTGCGGCAATTATGCCTCCAGCGGGTGGAATGGTGGCAAATTTACGGGCAGACGGCGGCGGCGGCGGCGGCCTACACTCGCCGCCGGCGCGCCGACCTCGCGTACCGCCTCCGGCGCACAGTCCGGCTCCAAGTACCGCCTCTGGCAGAGGCGAGCCTGACGGCCGCATGGCCGCGGGGTGGCGGGAAGTGTGCAATGGCAGTCGTATGGCACGACGGCATTAGTTTGTCCGTGCATTTTCTCCGAAGATCTCTGGTCTCTGAAGACAAACTGAAAATTTGCAACTGGCACAGCACACAAAATACTGCCCTGTAATCAGCTCTGACGGTCGGCCGGGGGCATGCTGAGCAGCGCTTTTCGGATTTCCCGTCTGATCGCCGCGGCGGTCTAACGCTTTCGAAAACCGGTATAGCAGCTCCAAAGGCGTTGTCAGGAATACGATATTCCGCAAAGATAGGCGCGAAATGTAAGGCTCGTGGCAGCGCAGTAGATGTCTGTGTGTCGACTGGCATGATAGCTTCCATATGGCATGTCATCACAAATATCTGCGTGACGACATAAAGATCCGCTCCCAGCTGTCTTAACTCAGCGGGAGCCCGGTAACATTCGCGCCACAAAGCTGAGCACCAAACGACAACCGTTACAACCGCAAGCACTCAAGCCGTCTTCCAGCCGCCAACAGTAGCTGCATAACTGATCGGCCGGGCTGACTACCGTGCACCGGACGGGACATCAGTACCAGTCACCGGGGCTCCGGCGCCGGTTCTGCCCAGGATCGCGCTAGAGGCCGCAGTGGAGCGCGAGCTGAGCGTTTGTGCCGGGTACCGCCTTGAGCATCATCCAAACCGCGGCCCGTGGTCCGGCTTCCTCAGATCTCGTCTGAGAGGCGGTGCACCTGAGGCGGAACCTGACGAGCCGGTCCAGGTCGTGACCCAGCCTGTGCGCGCTAGTCCACGACGCCGCCAGCCTCGCCTAGCTCACACAGGCCGTGGCCCAGCCTCGGCCGTGAGCGCTGCGCCCCCGCCGGCCGCCGGGCACCGACCTCGTTCGAAGCGGCGGCGGCTGCGGCGGCGGCGGCCGTGGCCCAGCCCGCCACGCAGTGCGCCAATTTACGGTACGCGTTTGCGGTGCGCTTTTCCGATGGTGGTTTTCTTTGTTCGAAGTCCGTCGCTCGGCCGGTCGGTCGGCCCGTAGGTCCGGCGAGCGGGCGGGCGGGCGGGCGGCGCCGCGCCAGCCAGTCTCGCCCAATGGTCGGCCATCCCAGCCCGGTCGTCAGACGCCGCCGCCGCCACCGCCGCCGCCGCCGCCGCCGCCGCCGCCGCTGCCGCCGTCACCGGCGCGGGGAAAGAGTGAGGAGGGGGGGGGGGGGGGGGGCGCCGGCCGTCGTCCGGAGCGGCGTCGCCCCGCGGCGGCCGCGTCAGGCGCCGTCGATGGACGGCCGACAGCCGACGGCCTGCCGATTTATGGCCGCCCACCACGCCGGCCGGCGCGGGCCGCGCCGGCGAAAGGTCAGCTGGCGGCCCGGTCACGGCCGTTGGCGTGACGCGAGCGGCGACGGGACGCGCCGGCGGCGGCGGCTCGGGCCGGCGCGCTGGCAGCCGCCGGGCCGGCCGCGCCCAAAACCCGTTCGGTGCGCCGGCCGGCGACGGTGTGCCAAGATGTGTCACAGCCAAAACTAAAACAGAGCCGGGCCGCCGCGCTCCGGCCGCCGTCCCGCACGGCGCGGGCTTCGCGTCGCTGGCACCAGCGCGTTCTGTGATGCCACTGGCTCCGTCGCCATCTCCGCTCTGTGACTGGTGGCCATGCCGGCCGGTGTTGGGGCCGTCGGACCTGCACCGCCGGCAGTGTCGACAGGCGCTGCGTCCCAAGACCGGCTCAGGCGTGCTCCGCTCTTCCTGCGCTCCGCCCCGCTCCCAGCGGAAGACAAACTACGACGGCCCACAGATTACACCAAGGCGTAGCTTCGGCCACGGCATCAATAAACACATCTCGTTCGATCGGTTTGTTTTGACTCAGCGCTCCCATGTCAGTCGCACTTGGGTCGCTCGGCATGCCGCGCAGCCGGCTGCCGCGGCGACAATCGCCGGCTCCAGCGAGGGCTGCGGTCCCAGGGCCTCATAGAAACCGGCCTCTCCAGTCTGGCCGACAAACAACGCCACCGCCATCACTCTTGTAAGCCTATCGCTGTGTAAATAAGCAGAGCCTGGCAAATGCCCACGATAACGACTCGCCTGACCTCTGGGGCATTGCAGTGCAGACCTCAGCAGTTGCACCCATCGCATTTATTTATCCTGCCTCCGCAGTGCAAAGCATGGTGCCCCATGCTTCGCGTCGCTTGCTGTTGGCGGGTTCCAAGAACAGCCCAGGGACAAACAGATGGGCCCTGTGGAGCAGACCCTCCTCATCTCCCTCAACCAGCCAAACGACCGGGATCGCAGACATGTGCTGGGATCCAAAACATATATCCTGGATACAAAGAACCCCTGGTGCTTAGATCTTGCTTCCAGACCCCGGGTGCCGTTTACGGATCCAGTTAGATATCGACGGGCTGGGCTGGGTGAATGAACTCACTGCGGTTTGCTCGCATCACTGCCCGGCGATCTAAATCCTCCCTTGCATCGGCTGCAGCGCATACGACGTTCGCATCCGGAGGAGGCAGCTGCCGCAGTCAGAAGCGCGGGCGGCCCTTCATCCGGCCAGCGGTCACACGTGAGGGGGATGAGGAGCGCCGACCGCCGGGCCGACCGCCCAGCGCCACGGCGAGGTCAGCCTCGGCGACCGGGTCAGGGCTCTGGCGGCGCCGCCGAGCGGCCGGCCCCCTGAGGCCGGCCGCAGCTGGCGAGGGGCCGGCCGGGGCCGACCGGGGCCGCCGGGGCCACGTAAACACGGCAACAAACAGCGACCCGCCGGCGGCTGACGCTGCGGCGACGGCCGACGTGACCCGGCCCCCGCCGCTGACCCTCCTCCCCCCCTCCACCGGAGGCGCGCCGGGACCGGCTCCGGGACCGGTCCGCCGCGTGTCTGCCGCGGTCCCCGCGCCGCCGGCCCCGCAGCCCGTCTGTCGGCCGCCGCCGCCGCCGAACCGGATCAAGGCCGTGCCGTGCAACATCAACAACTGCAGGCGGCGGTCATTTGTACACATGGCGAGCGGCGGCGACGGCGGCGGCGGCGGCGGCGAGGGCCGCCGCGCACGCGGCTGCCAGCCGTCTGGGCAGCGTTCGCCCCTCTGTCAGCCGGCGCCGTCGCCGCTTCTTTCCGGCTGTCGCTCCGACCGGCGGCGCGGATCGGGGCTTGGCCGCCGTCGGCGAGGCGCCCCGCCCCGGCGGCGGCCGCGGCCAAAGCGGCCTTTGACGGCCGCCGCGCCGCCATTGATTGACCCGTGCCGCCGCGGCGGTGGCCGGCCGGCCCTGCTCGCCGGTCATCCATCGATTGAGGGGCCGCCGCGGCCGCGGCCGCCGCCGGGGTCACCTTCACAAATGGCCGGCCGGCTCGGCGGGGCGGCGGCGGGGCGGCGGGGCGACGGGGTGGCGGAGGTGGCGGCGCGGCGGTCCGGTCCGGGTGAACACAGGACACGCATGCAGCCGCTCCAGTCCGGCGCGGGCGCCCGCGCCGCCTTCACCCCGGCCCGCTCCCGCCTAGCCACAAAGCGGACCGCATCTGCGTCCAGCGCATTGATG